AATGTAATTGTTAGATTGTTAACGTGAAACTGTCTAAGGGTCCTAGAACACACCTATATCTTTCTTTCATCAGCGAATCCCCCTCCCAGACCCCACTAGCCCAAATCCAGCCCTTCATCAGTTGGGGCCTCCTGGTCTGTATGTGCTCCCTGGCACTTGTTCCCTTATGGGCTATTCCTGGTTTCCAACCTCCCCTACAGCCATGCCCATGCTCACAGGTGTTACTGATCCATACTTAGGTGAAGAACTTTGCCCTCAAGCTAATGTACAGCCACTACAGGCCTCTATACCCTTGTTGGGACCTTGGCCTTCCTGGCATCCACCCCTTCCCTTCAGCTGGCCCATTTCTGCCTAGGCCCACTGCACTGGGCCAGGCTCCTGGGTTCCAGCCCTGTCACTTGTCCTTCTCTCTGGGCCTCTGGCCCTAGAATACACCCTTCTGGGCAGCTGGGTCCCTGATCTCTGCCCTTCTAGGCTGATCTCGCCCCTCACGGACTACGGATCCCTGACCCTGGCTTTTGCCCCTCACAAATTACGGGTCTCTGACTCTGGCTCTTGCCCTGCATGGGCACTTGCTTAGCACTTCTTGGGGTATGGGTCCCTGACCCTGGTTTGCACTTTGCTCGGGAAATGGGCCCCTGGCCAGATTCAAGGCAGTTGCATGCCCTGCCAACACAGCTGGGATCTCCAAACCTTCCCTGCAGTTCCAAGCTCAAAACACAAGTATAAACTGCAATGCAGTAAGAAAGTACTCTGGGTGTAACTGAAAACTATTCCCACACTGGGTCCTAACACAGACCCCAGCTCCCTAGATGTACACAACAAAGCTTCCCCTCTCTGGTTTGTATCCTCAGCTCCATGGCTGAACCACCACACTTCCCATCATACTGGGTCCTACTTCCCTGCAGACTGTGGGCATCTTGTTTGCAGATCTCAGGGCATTTCAAGTCAACCATGCAGTACCCTTCTGCCTCCCTGCTCAGAAACTGCTTCCCTTTCAGCCTGCAGGGCCAGACTGCCCTGCCTGGTCTCATGCACTGGCCTCATCTGCCTCCTAAGCCCTGCTCTGTCCGGTCACATGATCTTGTGGCTCCCCATAGGTGTTCCCTCCCTGTGGCTGATGACCTGCCAGCTTTCTCAGCTAGGGCTTAGCTTAGCAGCCAGTCTCCTATCAGCCAGCTGCTCTCCTGCCTGTCAGCTCTCCTACAGTCAGTCAATTCTAGGCATTAGTTCCTAGGCTAGCTAAAGGTGCTCTTCTTTTCTGTAATGCAGCTCCCAGCCTCAGCTGTCGAGACTCCTGACAGCTTGCCTTCTTGCAGTTAGCCTCTATTCAGTTGCCTTGGGGCCCAACTGCAGCATTTTCTCCCCTTAAACTGCCAGGAGCCCTCAACCTTCTGTCACAGTATCAAAGGTGTACCACTGTTATTCACCACTCTCATTTTCACCCAAAATATTTTATTAGAATCTACCCAAATTTGACTAAGTGACAGTTTCTACGTGCACATGCTCAGTACAGATTTTAAATAGTTTTTATCATCTAAATTCCCTAAAGTTCCCATTTGCACAGGGCATATGGTCCAGCTTAGCACTGAAAAGGACTTTCCCTAGTCTTGCAACTCTGCCCTGGGATCAGAACTAGAAAGCAGAGATCCCATCTTTCCTGGCTCTCAGTGGTCCCTGTGCTGGTTTGGAGGTATAGTTGCCTGATTAAAATGAGAAGGTGGTAGGAAATGTGACCTGAATGTGTGCAGGGAATAACAGAGGAGAAGGAGCCAGGGGTAAGACTCAGACTCAGCAACAATAGGGAGAAATAAAATGAGGAAAGAGACATCTGACAAGGAGCAGGACAGAGACTAGATAAGACCTCTGGGAGCCAGTGAAAGTGAAGAATGTGGTGAGAGGACACACCAAATAAGTAACACATTGCAAAGTTACCTTAATTCCAAAATTCCTTACCTTTTGAGCTTTTTTTAAAACTTAAAAACATTCTTTCAACATAGCTTGAAAGCTTTTTTGTAATGTAGCATTACAAATTAACATTACAGTAACTACAACAGAATCTTCACTGCATTTATTCAGATGCTGTACATTAAACTAAGTAGACCAAAATAATTGGCAGCTCTAGCTGCAGGGAGAAACTTATCCCCTCTGCAGAGACATTTAATATTTCTTGAATAACTGTAAGATCAGCACCTCTTTTTCCCCAGACACCTCTAGTGTAAACAAAGACAAAATGAAAATATTCTCTAATAAGAGTCTCTCAAGGAATCTCCTGAGAGTGCCACTTTGCAACAGAGGTAAACAGACACCACCCACATCCTGTTTTACTTTCAACAAGACAATCGAGTAGTGCAAAAACTAAAAATATACCGTTAGAAAGAACTTTAAAGAAAAGGCTGTTATTAAGCTAAAAAGTATGATGTGGCTTGGCAGGTACTTTGTAGCCATTTCACTGCCACCTGGAGACTGTAAGATACATTAAAAAGAACTATAAATTAATTCTACGAAGCACTAGAACAAAAATAGAGACCTTTCATGTGCCATATCTAGACATGAAAAATAGCATTTCTCTGCTCAAAGCGAACATTTTCCCTTCCCCCAATGCTGGTGGTTTGTTCAGTGCTCCAACTTCTGCCTCCAATCTGGCTGAATTTTACTGCTGCTGTATTGATATTCTATATACAATAGCCTTAGAAGCTCCTAAGAAACATTTGGGATGAAAGATTATATGCAAACAAAACACATGCAGTTTATCCTTCTATGCAGAGAAATGTGAGGATAGAACAAGCAGAGCTCAACCAGGTCTCCAACACCACAATGTTACAGCCCATTGTATGAACTAGAAAATAATAAAATTTTGTGAAACTGAGCCTCCCAAAGTGACTATGCCATAATGGAAAACATCAAAAAATCTAACCTTGACATTTTGTCAGGAAATAGATAATGTATAAAACATTATTGGCTCATTTCAAGGGAAAAGAAATACTGCTATTTTTTTTAAAGTGGAACTTAACCCTACTGCTACAAACAGGAAGAGCTTTTAGAAAGTCTGGACCTACCTAATTTTTAAAGGAAAGTTTAAGGTGCTTTCAAATACAAATTTCCTTGCAACGTGATTTAAGAGAATATTTTTTAAGGGGTATTATACTGGGGGAGAGGGCACAGAAATGGGAAAAATATATTAGCAACTTACTTTCAGTCGTGCAAGCTGAATAGTAGAAAATTTTCTCACTCCATCAACTACTGGAACCAGCCTGCTATATAAAGCCTAAAATACATGCATGCACAAAAAAACTGAAGCCCACAGCCACTTGCACAAATACAAATTCAATAAAAATCAAGTTGATTGATATTATTTAGTTTCATCCTTATTAGACATTATTCAAACATTGCAAGTCTTCGGTATGGATTTACACTCAACCATTTAAAAACATATTCTGACTGGTACTAAATGTACAGGTGAGCCAACGTTAACTGAAGTTCCATTTTCAAAAAATGTGACAGACACAAGCACCACTGACTTTCTAGTAAACCAAACATTTTTGAAAGTAGGAGTGGGAATCCCAAATTACTCAGGTGCTTTTGAAAATATCATCCAAGGTCTGAAGGAGCCCACTATGTAATCAATATCTGTAAACAGATTTAATTGTCCTTTTAGGAATTCAGGCTGCCACATGTCAAAGTAATAATTTGCAGCCAATAAAGGGGGAAAAAATACCCCTTATATAATACAGCAGTCACAAATAAAGTTTCTTTCCCTTACTCTATTTTTCAGCAATTCAATATTACATTAAATTGAGCAGGAGGTAGAAAATAGGTATATAGTACAGTAGTTTATTTGCCAATAAAAAACCCTCTAGGGCACATCAGAGGATCAATGTCAATTGAGTTACTGAGACATAATTCTGAATTGAAAGAGAGGACATACATAACTATAAAGAGAAATATAATTTATCTAAAGAGAAACGATTTCACAGCAAACCGTGACTTGGAAGTACCCTTCACCAATGGAGTCCAGCTTGGCCTTGGTGCCACATTCAGAATGTGTCCTTATAGTGGACTGAACACAAAGCAGCCCCATAAAATGGCAAATCAGCAAAATATTTAAGGTAAAGTTTTACAGGAAAATTCAAAAGGGACTGTGAATGGTAATCCTCACCTTATCAGACTGAGTGCTTTCGTGCAAGATCCTAGCATCAATAGCAGCAGCCAGCAGATTATTAGCAGCTGTAATAGCATGAATATCTCCAGTCAAATGAAGGTTAAACTATGGATTGAGAGCAAAATAAAAGTAAACTGTTTAAACACAATCCATTAATCCAGTATAGATTAACAAAAGCAATCATTGCTTTTTCTCCTTTGAGATTACACAGCAATTCAGCTAATTGTCAGAAACAGATAACCTATTACCATTAGACAGGCTGAAAGTACTGAACTAAATAAATTACTCTTGGTGCCACCTCAGTATCCAGTGGACTACTGACAATGAAACAGAAAACAGCACAGGTGATATTTTTCTTCACTCATTTCATTAAAAGAATGGAAATCTATTGTACAGACCACAACTGTGTCATGCTGAAATGCAAGGGAGACGCTGAAACTTACAAGGAGAAAAACTCTCACTATTTAACCTGCTTTGACTAGCTGAGAGTCTTCAAATTTCATTTCCTTCAACATTTGATTGGGTTCAAGAAAAAAGTAAATATACGGTAGGGTTTCGGGAAAGAAGGATGTGCTTTATTATGGATATTTATCCACAAAAATGTTTTCTCATTGTGTGATAAACCCACACAGAAGAGGTATGCACACATCAAGCAACAATGGATCTGTTGCATTTGTTTTCGTGTTTCAAACACCACCATCCCTCGCCAAACACCCCCCCCCCCAAAACAAAAAAACCACAACCTTTTTTATAACCATGGAAGGAAGAAAAACATTTGGTGAACCAATGTGTCAAATACTGGACATATTTAAATAATAATGATGGGAGGGAGGGAGGCCACTTTGCTAGAAACATTTACTATTTATATCCTAGTGCTGCCTGGTGATCAAATCAGAATCAGGTCTCTAATGTGCCAGGTACTGTACAAACACACACAGACATTAACACTGCATGAAAACTCAGTAGTCTAAGATTAAGGGTGACCATAATAATTTGAAAGAAATCCAGGATGAGAGGGGTGGGAGGTGGGGCCAGGCAGGACAGCACAGTGCGAGTGCAATGCGTGTGTGTGCAAACACATACACACACCCCTGACCCCGCAACTCCCAGGACCAGGCTACACACACCTAACCCCACAGCTTCCAGGAGCAGGGCGGGCAGGACAGACAGCAAGAGGCAGACAGACACAACCCTGCAGCTCCTTCCCTTCAGGAGCCAGGCACCCGCAAAAGGGTTCCTGCCAATCTGGAACTTTCGCTTCAATTTTTTCCAATGGCCAGGACACTGAGATAGTCTCCAAAGTCCAAGACTGATCCAGCCAATCCAGGATATATGGTCACCCCATCTAAAATGAAGGTAAAAAATCCAGCCTAAATTGCTGCATAACCCAGCCCACAGGGCTCCTGGACAGGTCAGGAACTGGGCAGACTGAGCAGGGGCAAGACCCACCACTGAATTCCAGGGTACAGAGCTCCACTAGGGATGTATTTCAGTGGTGGTGGGGAGTGACAACTGCATTAGTGCCCAGGGCTCCCTGAGCTGACAGTAGGTAGGGTTGCCATATTCCATGTCCAAAAAAGAGGACACCTGACACAGGACGGGTGAGGAGGGGAAGGAGGAGGGGCAGGGGCAATATGATGCGCGGGGGGCAGGCGGCGCGGCAGCGCAGTGGTGCCCTGGCCCCTGCCCATTCTGTTGCCCCTCACTGACAAACCACATGCCCCCCCACCCCAGTCCTGCTGCTGCCCCCTCTGGACCCACTAACCCCAACCCTGCCAGTGCCCCTCACTCCCAAATAGCAGTATCCTGCCCCCCCACCCCTTGCTGGTGGCCCCTGCCTCCCAACCTGCAGACCCCCCTGGTGCTGCCAGTGCCCTGCACACCCAACCCAGTCACCCATCCCATCCCCCGTGCCCCTCACTCCTGATCCACAGCCCCTGCCAGTGCCCCTCGCTCCTAAGCTGCAGCCCCTGCTCCCCTTCCAGTGTCCTGCACTCTGGACCTGCAGCCTCTGCCCCTCAGCCCTGCTGGTGCCCTACACTCCTGATCTACAGACCCCTGCCCCCACCCCTGCCCTGCTGCTTACACTCACTCTGGCTGGCTGACTTGAGCCCGTGTGGGGAGAATGTGACCCCCAACAAGCAATCACCTTGCTCACTGCTCCCGGCCTGAAGCAGTCAGTCTGGGAAAGCAGAAAACCTGGACATTAGTTCTTTTTAAAAAAAAAAACAACCCTGCATGGGCGCAGCACAGGGGTCAAAAAAGAGGACTTCAGGGAAAGCCCGGACGTATGGTAATCCTACACAGTACCACTCACCTCCGCTGCTCATCCCACTGCCAAAGGTGGGTCCAGATCCAGCCTACAAAGAGCCCCAGTTTGGATCTGGCCTATGGGCAGGTGAGTTTGATGCACCTGGTCTAAGACAACTGACAGAGAGGAATGGATCTGCAAGTACTCACACAACTTCACAAAAATAATTCCCTCTCTGTAAGTGGGGTAAAGTGTTGCAGCTTTTGGTTACTACAGGACTAGGGCAGCACCACGTGTGAAATCCCTCTCCCCTTCGTACAACATTCTCCAGAATGAAAACATGCTTCAAGACCTTTTTCTGAACCAGGTCCTTGGTAATCCTGATCCGCACACAGCTCAACAGGGTAATAATCTTTTCCCCCCCGCCAACACTCAAGCTTACCTCTTCCATTGGAATGACTTGGGCATATCCACCCCCTGCTGCTCCACCTGAATAAGGAATCACATGGTCACATCTGATTCAAGCCAACTCAAAAAAAAGCAGGCAAGAAATAAAGCACATAGCCCTATTTATACTGTGTGCACGTGAATATCTCTAGATAGAGAGACAGATGGACTGATACAAACGTATAGTTTTGATGCTTTGTATTATATTATGCATGTGAATCTCTATATATATAGATCGATCCACATACACATAATACAAAGCATCAAAGCTCTAGGTTTATAGCTATAGATATAATTTGTTATAGAGATCCCTCTGACACTGGAACCAAAAAAGTACATTAAGAAAGTCATCAGAGGATGAATAGGTGACCACGTAAGCCCCTTCTAAAGAAAAAATTGGCAACAATTAACTTTATGTATTTCCAAGAAAGTGAACTTCAGACATTAGACAGCGATTTTCTTAAGTAAGCTATTTCAGATAAATCTGGATGGGTTTATACTCTCTTCCCATTAAACATCGTTAGTTTAAGAATGAAACCTAAGTGGGGTATGCCGTGTACCACGAATGTGGCACAATCCAGTGCTTATGTACCTGTTTGCCCCACATCAGTGGTTTTAAACAAGAGCCATACAAAGAAGGCCTACTGAGACATCTCCTTACTAGTGACATATTTTTTCTTATTGCACTTTTTCATAGCTTTCTAGATTTTAAAGGCTAGAAGGGGTCATTATGATCAGTTGTTTTCTAGCACTTTGTATAAATAGCATTTCTGCACCCAAGCCCTGCAAATACTCCTTAGATATGTCAAGAAAGGTGACACCTTCCAGCCAATCTGCAATTCAGTGAAATAATTAAGGAGTAAAAACACAGTATAAAAAACCCAAGATGCAATATTTCCCTTTAATTTAAAATAGGACAAAGGTTTTGCAAAACACTAGGTACCTTTGACTCCAAAGGTAGGTCCTTGGGAAGGCTGTCTTAAGCAAGCAAAAGAATTGATATCAAGATGTGCAGTCAGAGCTTGGACAAGACCAATTGTGACAGTACTTTTCCCCTCTCCAAGGGGGGTGGGTGTTATCCTAACAAAACAGAAGAAAAGATAAGTTTCATCAGCATCTGTGATGATGTCAGCTTCAGTAAGGATGTCAGAACTTCAACCTTTTGATTTCAATAAATAATATTTTCATGATGGATTTCAGCAAGATGATTTTATTTCCACGAAAATATTGCCACAGTGTTATGCTCTAGCTCAAGCTGGAATGTGAAAACGTACATATGTCTTCTATTTAAGCAATTTATTATGATATTAGAAAAACAGAAGATTGTTTTGGCAAAAGATCTGAGGACCATTGAATTTATATCAATTTCCATTTAGACCCCAAAGTTTCTTCATTTTCATGAATAAACCATCTATCAAAATACTTTGAGCACATTAATAATGTTCTTGTGCAGCAAACCATGGATTTTCTTATTTTTAAACATGAATGAAATATTCAATTTTTCATTGAAAAACTACCTGCTTTTATTTAGCAATATTCTCTTTTGCTCTTTAACTTCCACTGTCTTCCAACTTCCATCAGCAATATACACAGGTAGATTAATTAATTTTTTAAAAAGAAAATTGGAACCAATGAGACTAACTAGGGTCAGTAAAATATGATTTATATCAAAATTATGTTCTTTCATACTTTTTCAGATTTATAGGCCAGAAGGGAACCATTATAATGGTTTTTCCTGACCTTTTGCATGGCACAAGGCAAAGGATTTATACTATGAAATCTTTATCCAACCCAAAAACTTGTGGTATTTTTAGGAAAAAATCCTGTCTTGTCTTAAAAGCCTGAAGTGATGGAGGGTTCTTAAAGTTTCAAACAGCCATTAGTAGCTGATTTTGCTAAATGTAGCATACTTGTGAAAGACTGTATTAAATAATCCTAGTCAAAGTCCAATTACAGACCAATATTATGGAATCAAAAGGAACACTACAACACCGCCTTGTGCAGTAAAAGTCTCTTTTGGCCAGTCTCTAGAGTGCTGTCCCTCAATTTCCATACAAATCTAAAGACATTCACAGTTAATTGTTTCTGATAAATGTGACTTTGGGGTGTGCTCTTCCCTCAGTGTGAGCACATGGCTTCCATTAGTAGCAGTGGGAGCCCTGAGAGCACTTTATAACTGTGAAGGACTAAGCGAAATGAAAGATACCTTAGGGTTAAAGATGTCCTTCCTACCTTTGGGTTGATCACACTTGGCAATTTTCCATGTTACTTTAAAATATTAAGTATGAACACATGTGTCTCACTCAGAAAACTTTCAAACACACTCAAATGATTCACTTGGGGTGTTTCTCTCTCATCAGCACAGAAAAACGCATAAAAACAAAGAGTACGTTTTCATTTACATCACTCCCACACAGTCCCTAAGGAAAAGCTCTCTAAGAAAAGTAACATTTAACCATTTAAATCCTTGATGCCCTAGCCACTTTGCAAAGTGAAATAAGTAGCTTACTTAGAGGTATGTAAGATTATGAATTACACTTTCATTCCAAAGGAAACACAAGCATGTACGCATATGCTAGCCAAAAGGGGCAACTCCTATATTATGACCTATGCAAGAGTCATAATAAATATCTATTTCTAATTAGAAACATTTAATTTTCCTGTTCCAGAAATTTAGCAAGGTATTACTTTCCTAAATTAATAAGCAGAAAGCAGAAAGTGGAAAACAAACTTGAAATCTTCATTTTGGAGAAACTCAGTAAAACTGACTGGCATAACAAGACACAAGAGTTTTTCAGATCTTAAGAGGCATCCAAGCAATAAAATATAATAACCAGGCAATTGATACTTGAAAAAATAATTTAAAAAAAAATCACTTAGTTTGTCATACTTTTTAACTTTAAAAAGCAATAAAATCCCTGATGGTGTGGATTTTTCTCCCTACACATGGGTCTGGACTTATCTATGTAATCAAAGATGCATCGATATGATTTTGTCTCATTCAGGAAAAGGCTTCAATTCGTACAGTTTTCCTATACCAAAAAACTAATCATTAAGCTTAAATCCCATTAATTTTATTGGAATGTAAGCAAATCCTAAAATATTTCCCTGAATATCTCATACCGTATATTAAGCTGTAACTCTGAATGGCTCTCATTTTAGCTTTAGTTATTTCCTACCTGTAAAAGCAACATATCTACCAAGATTTAAAATTGTGAATACCAGACAAAATTTTGTCCTCCAGAGTAGAGCACACATCAGTTTCTAAAGTGACTGATACCAAACTATATTTCCTTGTCTTAAAAGGAAAATTCATGCCTCATTAAACAAAAATCCACACTACATCAAATGCCAATAGAAAAATACTCAAGTTCAGTGTGTTACAACCTCCAAACTTAATGTAGGTCCTAGAGAACCTTGCACAAGAAGGGACTTTGGGTATGACATGGACACAACAAAAGAAAATTTTCACTGAGGAAAATGTAACTATCAAATGTATTCACTGCTCTTTACAGTGTCCTTTCTTCCTGCATGTCCCTTTTATTCCATTCTTATAAGTGACATCTTTTCAGTAGAAGGGTATCAATAGAAAGCCTATCCCACTGAAGCCAGAAAATATGTCATTCATTTTCAATGGGGCGTATTCTAGCAGGAAACCTAGTTCACCTCATATCTTTACATGGACTTGACTTAAAATATTTTTGGCCATTCAGTTAGTTATATACTAAAAAGAAGTATCATAGACCTGCAGCTTATAAGGAACTGAGAATTAAAAAAAAAAAAAAAAAAAAAAAAAAAAAAAAAGCTATACCATAGGCATTACTGATTAGTGCACCTCTTTGACATGCAAGCAAAATTTCACATCTATTTTACTCTACCTTTTTCAGAGGAGTGCAAGTGCTTGACTCCAATTATTAAACCAAATCCAAATTTTTAAATGTAAAAGTACTGTACAGGCTAGAATGGAAGAAAGTTCCAAGTTAGTACCCTAAAAGCTTCTTCAGCAAGTATCACGTCAGCACAACCCATTGCCATATCCCCTTTATGATGGCAACCATCAATCCTCCTGGATCATGGTGTATGCATGAGGGACACCCAGAGCTTTGATGCATATGCTTGGGCCAGATTTTTTGGAGAAGTGGAGGCTGCCCAGACCTTCCATCCTCCCTTTAAGCCACTGGGACAGAATCCAAAGATCAGACTGAGTCCAGATTTTTGGTGCCTCCATGGCTGTAGTTGTACAAGTGTCCGGAAATCGAACCCAGGTCTCCTGTGTGGTAGACCATATCCCCTTGATAACCAGTTCCTTATGCATTTCCATTGAAGTCCAAAGTAGATTAGATTTAATGCATTTCTTTTCTGTAGGAAATCTGTTCTTCTCCAAGAAAGCTATTGGGTTAATTTGATGTGACCTACAATCGATAAGAACCAGGTTGTTCTTTTCCCCATTTTCCTTTGGTCTCCAGGGCTCTTGTTGTTCTTTCCTATAAATTTGGCCCTAAATGTTGCCTACTATTGAAGACAGAGTGATAGGCCACTATTTACTTGGATTACTTTTCCCCTTGCTTTTAAGTATAGGCACCACGTGGCTCTAACATAGCAAATATAGTATCATTTCGGATTTGACAGATTTATTATAAATGCTTGCTACTAGTCTTGTAAGTCCTTTCAGAGTGCTGGGGTACAAATTCTTGTATCCCATGGATGTTAGAAGCAAAACTGAAGAGCTCAGTGCACTGAGATCTGCTAAAATCCATTTCCTTATCCTCTTTCCCATTACCCATTTTCTTTTCCTTCTATGTTCAGCATCACTATCCTTAGTACGAATTAAGGTAAATTATTCATTCAGGTTTTGAGCCATATCTAGGATTATCTTTGATCTTGACATGAGCATCACTATGCAGCAAACCTACTTCTTTCCTTTTTATTTATACAAATGGGGAACCTTTAACTATGTGGTTTAATTTCCTTTGCAAAATCTAATGCAGCATGACTTCCGGCAATTCTTACCATCTCTCTACACTTCCCAACCTTTAAAATGAGGCTCTTTGCTGATCAACGTTCTTGCATTTCTTGTAGGATTTCTGTTTACCCATAATATTGCATGAATACTCTAACTCACGCAATACCTCTGGAGCTGTTCTCGTTACACGTTTTGCCCACATTTCAGATCCAATTTCCACGTAGGTTCTGTTCTTTCGATAAAAAAAAGAAAAAAGAAAAAAATAAATCCAATCTTCTTTCACTTTCAGGTCCCTGAGCTCTTCAGTCCACCTGACTTATTATTAAGAAGTTTCCTTAATTTCCCAAAGTAACCTTTCTGAAATAGATTATTTTAGTCACAGACCTGTTTTGTGACCTTTCTATCCAAGATTATTTTCTATGACCCACTCTTCTTTAATGCCCTCACTACTTCTCTCTTGACTATCATACCCTGAAGTACCTGTATCTTAACAATATTATCAGAATTTGTTTCTCATTCTCTGTCTCGAAAGTTAAGGTCCCCCATAATATCACAATTCCTACTAGTATCTCTCCAATAACATATCAGAGATCCCTCCCTATACATATTCAAATTCAATCTTGAAGGTGTCTTTCAGACTCACAGCATAATCTCAGTAAAAAAAAAAAGACATTTTACACCATCAATCCCCAAAGTGATTGATGGCCAAACATAGCCCCCCTCCTCCTCTTTCTCCATGCTATGCTCTTTCCTTCAGTCTAATACAGGGGTAAGCAACCCCTGGCATTAGAGGTGCACCTATACATTGGTCCATATTGGATCGGCACCAATATAAAGAAAATTGATTGTATTGGAAATTGGCCTGACATGGCTGATAATGCTTATGTATGTGTGCAGCAGCAGTCCAGCACACAGGCAGCGAGAAGCATAGCCTGACAGTTTGGAGAGCTGCGTGCAGCTGCTAAGTCTGTTGTGGTAGATTGGGAGTGGGGAGGGAAGGGGTATGGGGGGGCAGATCAGTGCCCCTGCAGTGAGGGGGTGGGACGGGGGGTGCCCAGCCAGAGCAGGGTGGGGAGCAAGATGGAGCTGCAGCTCATTCAGGAGGCGCACGGGGGCT